TGACCACCCGTTAGTAACGTTTAATTTCATATTTCACTGGATGCATAAAAATATCATTTTAACTTAGGTCATCGCTGTTTGGTTTCGCCACACTTGCCATGCGTTTTGTGACGCATGATATATTTTTATTGAAAATTTGTGATTTTCATTTTCGCTGAATATAACTGTGACGATAATTAGGCTAGAGTAGATGTGTACTTCTTTTATATTTTGTAGGTTGTATGATTTTGTGAAAATGAGCACCTGAGCGCTGAACAGTGAACAGTGAACACTCAGCAGGGCAAAGATGAGCTATTTCCTGTCAACATACAGAAAATGAACTCATCAAACTTTCATGTCTATTTGCAAAACTCAAATGGAACAATACGCTTCAACCCGATTGTGTAATTTCATTCATCAGCCAAATCTCCAGAGTGTATGCCGTGCAGCCCTCCCATACCGGCACACAAATCGCGCGCATTTGTGTGATGGATGGGAGCGCGCGCGTGGGGAACGTCATTTGCGCGAGCACGAGCCCCCGCGCGCCCTCTGATATGACGATTGGTCTCCCCTCGGCGGCGGCTCTCAGTCGCGGCTCGTCACGCGTACGGCCAATCTTTCATGCTTTTTAGGCAGGCCATTTGTTCTGAATGTTCGATGCTTCGGCGGTCGTAATAGCTCTAAGACAGTGTCGTTTGTTGCGTCCCATTGCCCTGCTCTCCGCGCGGGTAGGGCCATCTATTGTGTGGCAGATATGATGCGGTTTTGGCAGAGTACCGGCGCCGGGGCTGGCTCCTTTGGCGGCCGCAAACAATGGGGAGATCATCAGAAATTCGGCTGGCGGCATTAAATGCTATAACGGAGGATGAGAGTTGCAGCGTGATGCTCTGCAGTTATAGAGGATTCTTCATGGCTCCGAGTGGAAGATAAGGATATCTTTTCCAAGCGGGTTACTGAAAAACCGAGCGACGAAGGAGCAAGGTTTTTCTGGAACACGCGAGGAAAAGATATCCGATCTTCCACGAGTGAGCCATGAGGAATCCTATATCTTTCTATGTTGAGGTTTATTCTTAATCAATTAAATATTATATTTAAATGTATTCATCTATGTAAAAAAGATTTGGAGTAGTTTGTTTTTATTTCATAAGTTTCATACATAAACAGCCATTAAAAATGCCGTTCGGTTATTGACCCATCATCAGTTGAACTCTTGATTTTTTGCTATGAACCCTCGAGACCTTATCTTTGCATCTCAGAGAGATGCAGAGATAACAAATTCTTATCTTTGCATCTCAGAGGAGTGCGAGATAGAAATATCCCTGCACTGTAGACCCAATGGCAAATAAACCTCAACTAGAAAGATATGTTTTGTCCACGACTTTGTTCAATATTCGATTGAAAAATGAAAACAAAGTCGTCAACGGGGAATATTGACAACGTTTTATCTGATACCAATAGCTGTTAATTCGCAAATTTGAAACTATAATTAATTAAAACTAGTTACTTTGAAGCAGCGTATTTTTTCGGCCATCTTCTCTTGCCCTGCCAACTATTGTGTGTACCTATCTGTCGAAGTGTATCCACTGTGCAATGTTCAGTTAGCTACGCTATTCGTCTAACGTGTCTTTATTTTGGTTTCCAAGGTATGTTAAAATCACAATTTTATTACCTTCTCTACTATTTCCCTTCTCTCCTTTTGTTCCGTCTTTTTAGTTCTTTCGCGCTCTGAAAGCAAATAGGTAATATTTAGGAAAATTCCTTGACATTTTGCCACAGAATTCGTCTTTTGGAGTCCACTCTTCCGCTTCATTCCAAAGTTCAAACATACGCACTGAAGAAGTTTCTTCTTCTGGTGTTATCTTCGTTCTGGAAGCCGCGTCCCGACAGCAGTGCAGTTTCCGCGGATTTCACCTGCGCTGGTAGACTGACCCGCCGAGCGCGGAAGCCGTCCGGCGCAGTGGGCCCGCAGGCGAGGACTGCGATGCGGAGTGCGCCGCTAACATTGCCGAGATCCATGAACATCGAACGGTGCTACCGGTCATTCTAGGTTTTAGGAATTTCTTTCCTGTTCAGAAAGCTTCAATTATATTTATACCGATTTAAGAATGCTGCACTTCTTAATCTCATCCGCGTGCCTTGACCAGCTATGCGCGAATGTCCCAACTAACCATGCCCGTCCTTTTCATGACTTTCGTATTTCACCTGACGGCAATGCTTACATCATGGTCTAAACTGTTACCCTCATGTCCGTTGGAAAACATGTATAAAACGAGGATTGGAAAACACACAAAAAAAAACACTTCCCAGACCGAGTCGTCCCTCTGTGTCACTATCACTATCACCCCCACTGACAAGCCAAACGCTGCTCGACCGACCCGCTATGACCACTGAGCGATGGACGGCACGACGCTCTGCCGTCGTCGTCGCCCGTCGCTCGGTCGTCACGGTCGTCGTGCTCGACGAGACACCCGCGGAGCGCGACGGGGCCGCGGTCAGCGCGGGTCGCCCTCCAGCGGCCGTTGTGCGGCGCTCGACGGTCCGTATGGCGGGCGTTTTTGGTGAGTTACGACGCGCCGTACTGCGCCCTGTCGACCGTCGTCGGGTCGTCACCAGTGCGCGGAACGGCCCGCGCTGACCGGCGGCCAGTTATCGCCGATTTACGGCGGAACTAGGAGCGTTTATTGGCCGATGGCGGCGGTCGGCGCCGGCGCTGTCGCAGCCGGCCATGGCGGACTGGCGCCGGCGCTCTCACGAGCTTTTCTGTCCGTCCATGGCGGACCAACGCTATCCTGTCCGTGAATGACAGACCTGCGCTTTCCTGACCCTATGGAGGACAGGCGCTGGTGCTTCAACGAACTATTCCGCCAGTCTGCTGTGGCGGATGGCGTCTTCCCAGCTGTCCATAGCAATCCGACGCTCTCCCGAGTTCTCTTGTTCGTTCCTGAGGGGCCGGTTAGATGTTCTGTCAGTCACTCTTAGATGACCGGCACCGGCGCCCTGATCCTATGGTGGACCGTCACTGACGTTCCCTCCTTTCATTACTGTCTGGCACCGCTGCTCTCCTAGCTGTCCAGTGCCCGTGGCGATCTAGCTCTGGGTCTCTCCATGGCTCATGGTGACTTCACTTCCATTCTTGGCAAACTAATGCCGGCGCGGTCTCAAGCTCCTCCATTCACGCATGGTGGATTGATGGTATTCTGTTCATTCAGAGTTGGTCCAAAGTTGTAGTGGTCCAAGCTCTGGAAGCCAACTACTTATATCTTCGCACTGTTTTTTTTTTTAGATTAACAGTTTTCTGCAATTGTTACTTTCTTCGCTCGCGTCAAAACTTTTATTTAGTTGTGCCCTGTACCTTTTTTGCAAGTTTCATATTTCTTAGATATGCCTCTTTTATTTGATAGTTAATTAGAATCAAGGCGAATGCGATGCATAGGTACCTACCTATTTTCTACCTAGGAGCTTTGAAGTCATTTACTCCAAATTTGCATCAGCACAGTCCTTTCAGACCTTTTATATTCAGGTGTGTTTCTGTTGCTTAGTTTCTTATCTTTAGCTGCAGCGTCGTCGGTATTTTCTGCCTCTTTCTTGATTTGCGCCGAGCGCTGGCATCATTCAGATTTCGTCGTCCATTTTCTCAGTGCCAGCTTAAGTCTGGCACCAAAGCGACGTGCGTCGGCCCGCTGCTATTTACATTGTCACTCTAGCCTCGCCGCAGAAATGTTTGGCCGCTGCCGAGCAGCAGTATCAGATATCCGCGTGTGGCGCACTTTGCATTTTACTGCCGGCGCCTGGGTTGTCTCCTGGCCCGACTGTGTCCGCCGCCACACCCCCGTCCCAATTCCAGTCGTTTCCGACCCGTTCAGGCATTGTTGCCGCCGCGTTCTGGCCAGCACATCGCTCGCTTGTTTATGGCAATGTGAAGATTAGCCGGTGCGCTCGGCTGGCGGCGACAGTCAGCTCAATGCTCCGTTTGAGTCTCCGTCGCCCATTGTTTTTCAGCGTCGTTAATGAGTGGAAAAGTGCGCCGCGGATCGTGTTGTCGCCGAAACTTGGCCGAGGTGTGGCCGCTGATGGCCTGGCATGCCGTCAACGCGGCGCGGATAATGGCGAGCCTTTGATGGCTACGGCTTTCTGGATGCTTAGCTTGTCCTGCAGTGTGGAGTTGACGGTTACTTTTGGAATAGGAATCTATCCTTACGTTTGTTATTGTTTGGTTTTTCTTTTGCTGAGCTGGTGGTAATATGAAAATGTTACGTTTAGTTTGAGCTGCCATGCAGTGGGGCAGGGCATTCTAAGGTTTGGGTTATGCTAACGAGAGCCTATGCAAAAGCCCAGCCGTGCTGCTTGGCATTTGCATGATCTCACTTACCTTTAAACAGCTCACCTTAACGCTCAGGTACTGTGTTGACTCTCAATTTATCATTATAAACTGACCTTTACCATCCTTATTAACTGATGCATCATCATTTTAGCATGGCTTTGAAAATATGCTCCCACCATTCATTACCATGTTTACTAACGATGACAAAGTGTTCTACTCAGCTTTCTCATCCGCCTCCGCACATTGTCAAAACTGCAGTACAAAACACCACTTGAGTTTTCCAATTTGTTGAGATAAGCATCGCTGAAGTCTCTGCTCGACGCTGATGAAAACATTCAAAAAACATCAAAGTGGATGTATAATTTGGTCCGTTATTATCGCCTGTTTTCGGCTCGGCCCAGCACGGGCGGATGAGTTCTTCGGGCCACACGCTCTGCTGGCGTCTAGCTACTCAAAGCGTTCTGCATGGTTCAGCTTCACAGACTCCAGGCTGCTGTCTTTCACAGGCCTTCCGGCGCCCTGTGACCCGTGTAACCTCCATCCACAAACAGCCCAGCCCATTCTTCTCTGAAAAATAAATGCATGTGCTAACTGCTACCTACATCGCATACACGACCTTTTACACTTTGTACCGGTGTTTTCCGTAGCTTACATTTACATTACACTGGATTCTAACCCCGTGTACTCGTGCCTCCCGCAGAGCGAGCTCGATGAGGTGGCCGCCGAGATAGCTGCTCGCCAGGATCAGAGCGAGGACTCGCGACGCGCTCTCGTGGAACTCACCAGGGACTTCCGAAAGAATACGCCCGAGGTGAGAACAGCGCCGGCTGGATTGCTGGCCTGCGTTTTGTGCTGAGGCCAATGTTACTCTCGACACTTATAGTAACGGAAAATTATTCATTAGTGTCGTTTTTCTGATAAAAAACAATTTAGGGATTCATTTCTGTTTGTGTAAATGCATGTGGTTTACATTATGTCGTGACGCTTTAGCACAGTTGCAAATAATATTCAGTTACACTTCTATTCCAGATTGGCTTGTACTCAACTTTAAGAATGATTACTATCGAATTTAGATAGCTTTACTCTCAGGTATTTTCAAAATATTTGAGCAGGACAATTATTTAAATTTCTCATCGTGTGAAGAGCGCTGTTCTTTGACGTTAGATACAGACATAGTTTGTTCTGCTCTGGCGGTAGTTGATTTATTATTCCTTGTATAATGTAACGCTAACCTCAAATGAGCTTGTGATTTAGTCTCTTAATCTTGACTGTAAGCATAACTTATCGCTGGGGTCTTGCAACTATCCCGAGCAGCTATGATTTGTTGCTGGACCTTCTAGGCATTGTTGCACAGTCCGATGTGATTTCATTAAGAAAAACTGGGATGCATGAATGCTTACCTAGATAGTATATAAAGTCGGCGGCCTTGCTTTATATGTTCAAGTTTCAGGGGTAATATTAAAAAAAAAACAGAATTTATATCGTCAGTCAGTGAGACGATCCAGCCGTTTCAGTCATATGTGTTATGTCAATTAATGTGATTGTTGTGTCTTTTGATTTAAAATCGGCATGCTTATGTCATTTTTCAATGGAACTTATCCTCACAAACTCTTGAAAAAATGTTTAGGAGCAGTATGTATTTGCAAAGCGTGTTTCTGATGTTAACAATTTTACCGATCGTTTGTTGAAGATACATAGCAATATGTGGTTTACATACACCTGAAATTGACTTGCAACTTGCACATGACAAACATTTCGGACCTGGAAGTCAGTACCCAAAATCATTGGGCGACTACTGTTTGATATCTACACGTTTGAGGTAACCGTTTCGGATAAACCTACAACTCACGCAGATAACGCGTCGAGATTGTATGTACAGACTGCGGAGCAGAGCAGATTGTGACCCACCCAATGCGTGTAGCTATGAAGAATGTATGTAGAGTTCTAAAATATACCAAGCGACTCGCACGGACCTGAGCTTTTTCTTTACTTTTCCGTTAGTAGTTTGATCTCTAAATACAAAAATATAAAAGCATGTAGTCATTTAGCTCTTCCCTTAGACACTCTAGCTTCATAGTCCATACCTCCATACCATACGATGCCGTGCAGTTTAACTGGGCTCGTGTCACGACAAAGATCCATCTTCTCAGCTCGGCCAGCGCCGCCAACTGCTTGCCGCTATTCTCGAAGGGTTTCAAACGCAGCTGGTAATCAATTTTCTTAAATGGCCTCAATCTTCCTGAATATTCATAGGGTGCCGGGAATTTGAATTCTACTTATTCCTGGCATTACTGGTTCCGAGGTTGTGTATTTAGTTATCACATTTGCATACAGAAGACGTCTGAAATTCGGTCGGCGCGGAGACAGATAACGCTGCGCTGTGTTTACGTATGCATTTGGAAATAGGGAATAATTGCTTGGTTTGTGGTTTCCTCTTCGGACACTTATACGACTGTTTGGAAATGGAGCCTCCGGAGGCTGGCTGGAGAGGAGCGGCCGGGGACCGAGTCCCTCAGGGAAGTTTGGCTTCCTTTCGGCGCGGACGGGCGGCTCCAGCCGTGATACTGAGCCTGATTGGCCCCGGCTCCATCGAGCATGCGACTCGTGTCTATAACCGTGCCCCATTGAATCGCTGTGTCTAAATCGGCTGCCTGTTCAGTGCACTCATCGTGCCCTGAGGGCCCATAGCGCCCGGCTAACTGGTATACAAATGTGCGCCTGACCGTAGGCTGGGTGAGCGGCGCCCGTCCGGGCAGGCCCGTCGAGCACTATCTCGAGTCAGTGCCGCAATATCTCAGCCGGGAACGATAAGACATCCCGGTATGGGCCGTTAACGTTTTCTAATGAAGATAAAAGACAGAATTTGCATAGAAATAAATGTTTGGAACCGGCGGTGCTGTCGGCAGTGCCGTCGCTAGTTCGGAACTCGAGTTCGCTCCACTGGTCCGCTATAGGTCTCTGGGGGGTCGGCGGGTGCCCCCAACGATCAGCAGGGCTCACTGCTGGCTGGGTCTGGGTCAGGCAGACTACAGGCTGGTGGGGTTTGCTGCTGACTAGGGCTAGGTCAGAGATGGACCCCTTTGGGTCACAGTGAGACATGCGGACGTCAAGTCTAAGTCAATAAGGTAAAATGTTCTGTTGAATTGGAATTTTACTCAGCGCTCGATATGCCGTTGACCTCAAAATTTCGTCTGAGGTTCAGCCCAACATCCCATCCATCGCCCAACCTTGCGCAGCTCGTTTTCTTACTATGTAGAGATATGTCTTTCGGATACCAATGGCTTGGGATGACAGGATCAAATCCATGCTGATTTAGTAGTTGATATTTCGAAATTCGAACCTTGTGCCGTTTTGTTGATTTAACTCTTGCCAAGTTCTTATGTATACCTATATTTGCCAGGATTGTTGTGGCAATTCATAGTCGCCTTTGTATTTGAATTATCATGTATCATTACTTATTAGTTTATTATTTTTATCGTTGTAAAAGAGATCAAGTGGCATCGTATTGCATCGTTGCCAAAATATATTGTAATGTACTATTGCATAAATATATTGTAATGCATCATTGCAGAAAGATCCTTAGCCTCCAACTTAATTAAACACATCGCTGGTGTAATTATGTGTTCGATGACCGTAAGCTCTCCAACAATTCCAATTTATTATGTCCTTTGGCAGTGTTCAGAATTGAACGCACATTGCCCTAAATTTATTTTCAAATCACTCTTACTTCATTCGTATCGACCGCTTGTTCCGTCGTTTAATGCAATCGTGCCCATGTATTCTCTAGCTGGGGCGTTAAATGCATTCAATCGGCGATAAACTACCGGTATGTTGAGCAGGACATTAATGGCGTTTTAAGGAGTGTATTGTGTGCACAGCCCATTGCATGCCAGCGCTGCGTTACGTACTGGCAACCGTTTCACATTGCTAACGTGCGAATCGCTTATCGAGCGACGGGCGGGCGGCCGGGGTCCCGCCTGGAACTGCAGCTCGGCTATGTATGCCACTGTTTGTCAGACTAATAACCCAGCGACGACGAAATAAAAATGTCCTAATACCGAGCATCTATTCTCCTAATGGCTGCCATTTAAATAATCGGTACTTGAATCCAAATAAACCGTTCTCCAGTAGCGTCGCTCGGATAGTTCCACTATTTGTGCCATCGCTAATTGGCCATTTCTATTCGGGCGAACATGGCGCGCTCAACTTGTGTTGTTATAATCGGCCGTGCAGCGCTGTGAGCTGGGCTGGCTCTGCAGGAGGTGGGGAGGTAGGTGGGGGGGGGGGGGGGGGGTAGGGGGTGCTGGGACAGGTCGCCTCCACTGAGCCGGCGAGCCCCGGCGCCAATCCGCCAGTCGGAGCCGGATGAAGAGGCGCCTCTGCGCCGCATTAGCCGCCGCCACACACGAATGTCACCGGCCACATTTACATACAGATCGCTTCGAAAGGTTTTATGTTGATGTCTTTTGAATCTCTAGACACATCTGAAACGGCGTATAAATCATTCCGATGATAAGGACTGGGAGCGTTCTCCTAACATGCGCCCATTGAGACTGGCTGACTGGTTATTGCCTGGAGCGGTTTCCGGGCACGGCAGCGGCATAAACAATGAACAGAGGATAAACGGACGATTGATTTGTGGGCTGTGAGAGACGACTGCCTACTGAGGCATTCGGAAATGTTCTGACGAATGCTCTCTCCCGATATGGGGAACATTTAATACTAAATGTTCTGGCTTGGGATCATTATATGAGATGTTGTTCCTTTTCAGGATGTTCGCAAAATGATTGCCCCGCTGCTCAAGAGTTTTCAGTCTGAAGTTGACAGTCTTTCGAACAGAAGCAAAGGCGCAGAATCGGCCTTTCTCAAAGTGTACAAGAAACTGATTGACATGCCCGGTAAGTACCAACCATTTAATTTTTTTTTTAATAAATGAAAATCGTCTTTTAAACTCTACACAAGTTTTCTGGGTTGATGCTTACGCAGAGAAGATAGGAAGCTGGCTTTTTCGCTATAGTTAGTAAGAAGGAACAAATGTAATGGATCATCGATGCAGCATATAAAGAGCCTCTCCAAAGACATAGCGACAAAACTTTTGAAAAAGGTTGATTTTCATACACATCGTTTTAGAACAACATGCTGAGCCATGAGCGCGAGTACGCAGGTGTAGTGGGACGGGACGTGGCCATGCAAGCCGGTGCCTTGTCTTTTTATGAATTTGGTGCGGATGCTCGGACCTGAAGTTCGATGGTTTATAAGTTAGCCAAGTCCCGCAATCGCCTTGAAGCTCGGAAAAGGTTCAAATTCTGTGGTACATACCAATCTGGATTTGCTCAAGCCTGGTGGGTATTGGTGACCATTGACCGGTGGTGACAACTCCGCGGATCAGTGTGCAGTGGCCGTCAGCCCCCGCCAAACTCCACCATCTCGGTAACCAAACGTAAATGTTTGCTTGAGACCCTCGAAGTGTCTGTAATCCGTCCGGTGATCGGTGATCGGTCCGGTCCCGGTTGGTGGCGCCATCTATCCGACCTCCTCCGCCGGCTCCGGTCTCCGCATTGCCGGTGCTACCACCAGAAAACGCCGACCACGGGCCGGCGGACCTCGCTCCTGCCCAGAGACCGTGTGTCATCCCATCACAATGATTTACTCGCCATCTTTTTCTCAATGGAACCAAATGAATACAAGTCGTAAATAGCAGAGACAGCGCGAAGGAATGAATACTGAAAACAGTTTTCCTCTGAGGTCGATAGATCAGCGGTCCGGGGACGCGGCTGGCAATTTATGGCGGCGTGCATATGTGAGGAGCGTGCCTGCAGTCGGACATCTCTGGCAATGTCGCGGCATTGGTCCGGCCGGACCCGGACTCTGCCTGGATCCGGTCCCGACGGCGGGTCACAGAGTGGCAGCGGGCGTCTAGAGGGTTTTTGTGTTCGACAGCACGGCTCATGCCGCATGTATTTGCTGAGTGAGTTAATGCTCGGAGTGGGATACATTTTGTTGATCTATTGAGGCTTGACACCAAAGATTGGTACTGTGGTACTTAGTACGGCGAGTGCTAATTTTTAGATTTTTTTTCGTTATGGGAGAAGTGTGCACTGTGCACTATGAAATGTGCATTGAACTTTTAAATCGCAGTAAAGGAAAAGTTCTATTTATTTGGATAAATGTAGATCATTGTCATAAAATATGATGGGATGCATGTCAAATGCTGTCTTTTCTTCCGGGGACTGGGCATGAGCAAGCGATCTTATATCCCGCACCATGCTTATATCGGCTTTCGAAATGCTCTATTAACAAAGCACGTTTTCACTTCAGTAAGGACTGAGGTGTCTTGAGTAATAACGCACCTATTACAACATTCGTGGATCCAACCTCTTCTACGTTCAGAGTTCACATCTTTTGTTCGTGGCCAGTAAGATCAGACTCGTTTCCCGGCGGGCGACTATTCTAACCCGGTCGTTAACTGATTAGGGCAGCACAAGTTACCTGGTTAGGGCAGAACCTCCCCATTGCTGCAGCTGGTCCGCCCCCCTCACCCCCTGAACGGGCACACCTTCTCGGTAGTGCCGCCCCCGCAGCCGGTGGCTGAAGCCTCTCGGAAACCCACCTGAACATACATACATCTATAGTGCATAATTACCTGCGGCCGTAGATCATCATTAACCGCTCCGCTGGGGCGGCGGGAGGCACCCGCTCGGAGCGCCGGCCACGCGTCCGACCCCTGCCCCGATCCGCGCCAGTAAATAAGCCGCTCGCATTGTGTCGCGGCGCGCATAAATCGCGCAACGATTGTGCGGAATGCAATGCATCAAACGTTATCAGGTGGTGTCGCTGACGCCTCTATTCAGGCCGGCGCCGGTGACTTAGTGCTGTCGGATGGCCGGACGGTGGGACGGTCGGGTGTGCCCGCCACCGGCCGGTGATATCGTGAGCTGGTGACCTTGCCGGGATTGGTGACCGGTGACCGGTGACCGGTGACCGGTGACCAATGATTTATCAGATGGGAAAAATATAAAGTCCAAGAGGTCAACTGTGCATCATCCAGTCATTCACTGCAACAGCATCCAGTTTTCCAGCGGCACAACATCCAACTGTAGCGAGTCGAGTCTGGAGCCTTGGGGTCGTGTCGTCGGCGTTGTTCAGAAGAATGGCATGGTTATGTCCGTGTGTCTTGCGTCCGTCCTTTTAGCTCGTGTATTATATTTTTTTCTACGATTATGCTGATTCAGTTATGTGTAATATGTACGACTTGGTATTTAATCAATTCGCCAAAGGTTTAATCGAGATTTTTGAAGCTCTTCTGCATCCACTGTGCAGTTTCATCGTCTCTGCGGCGCGAAGGTCTGTCTGGCCGATCCAGATTGTTAAAACTGCTGCCGGCGGCCATCTCGGGCTGGGCGGGGCGGTCCTGGGCGGGCGGTGGTTGCGCGTGTGGGCGCTGCCGGGCGGCGGCGGCGGCGGTCCCGGTGGAGCCGTCTCATATCGGCCGCTGGCCGGCGGCTGTTATTTGGCCAGCTGCGGCCGGCGATGACAAATACTGGCGTCCGGCGGCGCCGATGGCCGGCCGCCAGAGGCCGCAGCGCCGCCGCCCCGCCCAGCCAGCACCGTTATTTGCTCAAATTGGTCATTTGTGTCAATTAATGCCGCTATTGCAGACATGTGGCTCGCTTCATCGCGGCTTTTCATTTGGGCACCGCAACTTATGACAGCCGGTTGGCGGCGGGTTATTGGAGAGTCGAGCTGCCCTGGGCGACCGGCACCGCAGTGGCCGCCGGAACTGAGCCCGCAATGGAACCGAGGGGGGAGGGGGGGGGGCTGGAGCTGGGGTCATAGGAGGGCGGCGGAGACCAAGAAGTGGAGCTGGGGTCAGGTTGAAACTGGGACCAGAGTAGAACTTGACTTAGGACTCAAGTGAATTATACGGGGGAGGGGCTGAAGAAACGATAGGAGTGACGAGAACGAAAAAAGCGAGGAGTTAGTTGGATCGAAATCCAGGGGATTAAAGCGAGACTGCGGCCGGATCTGGTATCAATCTTCGAAAAGAGTTTTTGGCATTTTTGGCTCTCCAAGCAATCGCGCATACCATTCCAGAGATAATGGAAAGTAACACAATGAAACGGAACGCGAAGATGTAACATTGAAAAGGCTTGCCGTTAAAAAAATTTGGGGCACCTGTTCCAACTGAAAACACTTCTTGAAAACACTTCTTGGCTCGTCTCTGTTTGAGACGAGCCCTGTATTGAACTGAGCTGAGCCGAAGAGGGTAAACATATTTTCATATATTTGCATGCTTTGTAGACTATTGGTTGGAACCCTCGCCCATTGCATGTGACAGCCAACCGCCACACAGTCTCTGTTCGGCATAGGTACATCGCTGTGCTCTACATCCGGCACTACCTCATCCCTCTGCTCTCTCCCTCCTATCTCTCCGTCCTCTCTCCTCTCTCCGTATGAAGTAAGTACCCGGCTCCCACGCTCTGCTGCCGGTCCCGTATTACGATCCGTCCCGTAAATTGATAAGAATAGGCCGTTAGTGCCAGCTGCCCCGGTGGGCCGGTGCTGTATCGGCTCCATCAGCTATTGGGTCGTAGACGTCAATTAGAGCGCGCTAACTGGCGACAGCGACGCTGCGCGGTGGACCCAGTAGCACGCGTTGGTCGCACACGGGGCACGGGGGTGGCACAGAGAGCTGAGAGGTGGTGACATATAGGGGTGGTTACAGTCGGTGGTGTACCGGACTGGATGGGTGGTGACACACAGGTGGAGACACTGGTGTGGCACTGCAGGTGACATACAGGGCTGGAGTGTGGCTGAGAATGGCAAAGGCTTGGCAGAAGCTGAGTATTTTGGCCCTCGAACTTGTGCCAGGTTATCATATCTCAATGAACGGCAGCTCTGTCTGACTGCCTTCGTAGCGTTTTGTTTGATGAGATGCCGGCACAGCTCCACTCTGCTCCTCGGCTGTGGCTGAGATTATCACTCTGGACTCCGTGACGACGACTGATGATCGCTGGATCAGTTCACATGGCCGACTTCGACTGGCCCTTGCACGGTAAATACCCCACGGAACCCTCCCTGTGCTCGGTCGCAGCGTCATGTGGGCCCGATAAACCGAGGACCCGGTTCGGTGCTCTCTGACGCCATCTGAAACAACAGGCTTAGAGCGGCTCCGGTTCCAACAATAGAGCCGTTTTTGTGAATAAATCTTTATATCGTTGACCGTCATAATATCGTCATGCTGTGACGTTAGAATTTTCCTAGAAGGCTGATGCGGTGTCATGTTGGGGTGATTACAGGTTTAGCATCTCATTGAGTGCCCTCGGCAACAGTGACATGCTCGGATGAGCTCAGACCTTCACACTTTGATTGCCACCGAAAGCCATCATGTGGTGCTATATCGTTAGCAATGGGCGCTGGATGAGAGAAATTAACGTGGGACAAGTGACAACTGAACTCCGGTCATTTTGTCACTACATATGACACTTGGCAGTAAAAGATGGCTAAGTTCAAACAGGCTTTTTGAATTTTGAAACTTTGATTCACGTTATTAGAAGAATTATTCAAAAGCCACTTTTGTATCGTTTTAAAATGAATCGAACTGGTGTGAGCAATTTTAAAGTCACGAAATTACAATAATTATTTTGTCACAAGCTCATCTAAACGTCCAACCTTTAAAACCATTCGATTCTCCTTTCATGTTTGATACTGAAAGAGCCATTGCGGCTGCGCTTGGTCACACAGAACAATACACGATACGCCTGTCTCCAGTCCGTTTTATTTCTGAGGTAGAATTTCAACACTGTTATTTTCCACCGTCGTAACTTTTTAGCTACGTCAATACCCCTGTATTCCAGCACCGGTCGATTTTGTTCATTTGGAGATTGTTCAAACACTC